GTATAGATGTTAGATATTTCTGTGGATCATATGTATAGATATGAGGTTTATGTGTGGATCATATGTATAGATGTTAGATTTATGTGTGGATCATATGTATAGATATGAGGTTTATGTGTGGATCATATGTATAGATGTTAGGTTTATGTGTGGATCATATGTATAGATGTTAGATTTATGTGTGGATCATATGTATAGATGTTAGGTTTATGTGTGGATCATATATATATAGATGCTAGATTTAGGTGTGGATCATATGTATAGATGTTAGGTTTATGTGTGGATCATATGTATAGATGTTAGATTTAGGTGTGGATCATATGTATAGATGTTAGATTTATCTGTGGATCATATGAATAGATATGAGGTTTATGTGTGGATCATATGTATAGATGTTAGGTTTATGTGTGGATCATATATATATAGATGCTAGATTTAGGTGTGGATCATATGTACAGATGTTAGGTTTATGTGTGGATCATATGTATAGATGCTATGTTTAGGTGTGGTATACATATGATGATGCTAGATTTAGGTGTGGATCATATATATAGATGCTAGATTTAGGTGTGGTTCATATGTACAGATGCTATGTTTCAGTGTGGATCATATATATAGATGCTAGATTTAGGTGTGGATCATATGTACAGATGCTATGTTTCAGTGTGGATCATATATATAGATGCTAGATTTAAGTGTAGATCATATATATAAATGCTAGATTTAGGTGTGGATCATATGTACAGATGCTATGTTTCGGTGTGAATCATATGTATGGATGCTAGATTTAGGTGTGGATCATATGTATGGATGCTAGATTTAGGTGTGGATCATATGTATAGATGCTAGATTTAGGTGTGGATCATATATATAAATGCTATGTTTAGGTATTTTCTTTTGTAATATATATATTTCTTCCATGCTAAAATTCCACAAAGATTAAGATAAGTATATTTCACACAAAAACAAGTGATCATTAACAGCCATTTTATTTCTCATTAACAATGCTTGAAATGAGTTTTATTCAACTCTGAAGATGTGATTATTAACCTGTTCAGAGTGCACTTTTATAAGAAAAAGTATTTAAAAAGAAAAGCAACACAAAACTATAAAATCTCCTTATGACACTGAGCCTAACAGTTGTCTTATAAATATGGTGTGTAGAATAAACAAATACATTGTTGTTCAACAATGAATTATAACAGTTGTCTTATAAATATGGTGTGCAGAATAAACAAATACATTGTTGTTCAACAATGAATTATAACAGTTGTCTTATAAATATGGTGTGAAGAATAAACAAATACATTGTTGTTCAACGATGAATTATAACAGTTGTCTTATAAATATGGTGTGTAGAATAAACAAATACATTGTTGTTCAACAATGAATTATAACAAAACACAATAACTATTTCAGCTATTAAGACTGTGTTTCTAATCTATTTTAGATCCTAAATTATAATACATTACATAGCAATTATTTTTTTATTATTTTCAATAGTACTGGCATCTTGGAGTTCAAGCCCTAAATGTTTTTGATAGTTAGAGGTTCCCCTGGTTGGTACTTAATACAGTACCATTTCAGTAATTAACGTCATATCTACATACACTGCATCAGTCATAACTAGGGCTGTTTTAACTTATAAACATCAATACCCCTGATTGACAAAAAGAAAAGAAATTGGTGTATATCCAATAACACCAAAACAATCTGAAAATCAGTTGATATTAAATTCACACCTTTCTCACAATGGTCCTGACCTTAATCTGAAGTTGAATACTAAAGTATACCCCAACTATGGGGAGATTTGAACATGAAAGTAATAAGTGATGCAGTACAAATTAAAGTAGACCTTGTGCAGAGGTGGATTCTGGGAAAAAGTTAAAATAATCTCATTTAATATATAAAAAAACAAATTTTAGAGCATCTATATAAAACTCCAAGGTAGCTAAAGATAGATATAAAAAATGGAAGCATTATCATAATTTAAAGATATTTATTTTGTTCTAAACGTGTGTATAATAATAATTGTTCTTTCCCTTCTAAAACTCATAAAGCAAACAAGGACTAAGGACCTTTCAGTCATTAAAGGTTTATCATTATATACATTTTAACTATAAATATCAGTTGTTTAAGGAACAGTTTTTTTATGATTCACACACTTTAGAAAAACATCTACAAACACTAACAGTATTTTATTAATATTTACAATTAACAGAGACAACATTTTTACCATAATACTAACAATAAAATAAAATTTGTACTTTAATTAATAAACCTAAAAACACAATTAACCTGACTCGTTTCTGAATGGAGGTTGTTATACAACTCTAATTTAAAGTACATTATTTCAATAATACAGACATATAACAAGTTTGATATTCTTTTCTTGGTTAATTTGAGGACATAATACCAGACATTCTATCAAACACTTTTCAACTACATGATTCTTTACCATTGGTACTTTTTATGAATCTTTAACAATATTTTCTTTCAAATGTATCAACCTTCTGTCTAGAGTTTCAAAAATCACATACAAATTTAAAATTGAGGGCTGGACACACAAGATGAAGAAATGACTGTTTGTTATGGGAAGGGTTTAAAATTCTGGGGGAAATCTAATGAAATATCATAAATTATTATTAAAGGTGTTAAGATATTAGTTTTAATGTTTAAAATGTGTAAATCAGATATTAAGAAATTAAGGGCTATTCTGAGGTTCTTTTGTTCACTTCCTACTTTTGTCATGTGGCATTACTGACAGACAATAAGATTCATATTTTACCTTAACCTTTATAAAAATACATTATGATGCCTTTAAGTTTTTAACAGATTCCCTATATGGTTGGATTATCTTAACATAGCAATTAAAGTAAGAAGTGACACTTTTAGTTAGGACTACTTTTATGACACTGTTCAACACTTTTAGTTAGGACTACTTTTATGATACAGTTCAACACTTTTAGTTAGGACTACTTTTATGATACAGTTCAACACTTTTAGTGACACAATGGTAGCATAACTTGCCACTACATAAAAACAAACTCAGGTGAAACTGTGCATGCTAGAGTTATGTCATCTTCAGGAGCTCGAAATAAGCAAAGCCCTATCTGGGAATATTTTGATATGATGAGAGACCAAAATGTAAAATGTAGGGTGTGCTCGGCAGAGCTTACTTACAGGGGCAGTACAGGAACAATGTTAAATCATACCAAAATGAAGCACAAACAATTATATAAATTGATGTTTGTATCACTAGCATACAGTTTGTGTGAAGATGTGATTAATGCTTGCTGTCTAATGCAAACAGGCCATTATCGTACCACTGATGAAATTATTTCACACACAACTTCATTAATTGATATTTTTATACAATTTTCACAGTACTGTATATTTATAGCTATTTTTGGAGGAAAGTAGTAACACTTTCTCAGTGGTTTTCAGATCAGTGTAATAATGTTAAAATATTTAATATCATAAATAGAATCAATTACAGTAGATAACTTTACAACTTCCAGAATACACAAGGAATGTAAAACACATTTCTACAACCTTCTCGTTCAAGTGTTATTCTTATATTTTCATGAACAAAGGAAATACTGGGAAAAGTACACTTTTAGAATTCATTGTTTTTATTGCAAATAAACTAACAACACAACAAACAGAATCACAGAATGAGGTACATTAACAAGTCAATAATGTATATGTGCTCCCCTAGTGAGAAGGCTATGGACAGTTTGCTACACAACCGTACTTCATTGTTCAAACCACAATCCTTACACTTATTAAATTTACTGAAGTCATCCCTAGGCTCTTCTAGTTTTCAGCATCTAATCATAGTAATATTCTAATCTTTGTCTACTCTTAGCAGTTAGTTACAATATCTGAAACAGATTTGGATCAACAAATTGTAAAAAACATGTTATAGTTTTTCCAACAGTACCTAGTCAGTGAAAAACCAAGGCCATTAGAAAAGCAGTGATTCACACTTCTTGAGATTCTTTTAATTATAGTATCTTTCAAAATTTGTAGTCTATGAAGAAGTGATTTACACATTTTGAAACAACCTTTACACTCCAGATAAGCACTTTATTTTAACCCACATTAAACGGCTTCTTCGGGGCTAGTATATAAAACTGTTTGATTTTACAATCTCATAATTATCTGGAGTGTAAAGGTAATTTTTTCTAACTATATTATCAAAACATCTTTTAATTATAAAGAATTCCCAGTCATCATAGTACTTGTTCTACATACTCAATTAGCTTATATTAGATATTGGCCTAGTACAGATTTCAAGTGTTGATGTGTGACCAAGATACTAACTGACCGACACAGTGACTTAATAACTCCTGCTTGAAACCAGTGTTCTGATACTAATGATAAGCTGAGCTTTCTTATAAAAACTTACCAGTAATGTGTAAACTGCTCCAAAAAGTTGGCCTAAAATAGTAAACACTTAAATATAAGGAGACTATATATGTATAAAATAATGCTTGCTCCGATAATTTTCAGTATGTTCACTCAGTCGTCCAACTCTTACAATTAGCCTCAATAAACCACCAGTTGTAAAGATTATGGTAGATCTTTACTGGCTCATTATGGTCATGAAGTTTTTTACAAATATCACAGGCATAATGAGTTTGTTCTAATTTGAAGTATTGTTTCCATTCAAGGAACTTGTTATAAAGTGTCGCATTTCTTGCCACATTCTGAAGATACTTACCTAGATGTTGGGGAGAAGAAAAGTCTAGTGCATTGATGAAAGAATTTGGGGGGGCAAACTGTGTATAATCTGCTCCACCAAGTACCACTGGAACCATATCTGTATCTAAAACATTAAAGAACTTTTCTGTGATGTAATCCTTACACATTGAATTCTCAAAAGCCAAATAAAAAAAGTATTTTTGGGAAGCCTCTTTGTAACACTTTGTGGACATTTTAGGAAGGCACTCTCTGTCCCCGCAACTGCCATAAACATCAACTGGTACAGCCTGCTGAAGCTCACGGACGTAAACTTCTCGATTGCTTGGAGTGATACAGTTACTTGCAAACCATACTGCTAACAGACTTTTCTCCTTGTGAAAGTCTTGTTGTTTCAAAACTGCTTTCTTCAATGGCGTGACTACAGGGCTCAGAAATATGTCAGAATCTCTTCTATAAGTGGCAGACCAGTTAAAAAACCCTTCAAGTGAAGTGAGGGTATTTGGTGTGTGGGGAGGGGACTCGTGGTGCAGCATAACCCACCGCTGGTTTGAAAGTCGAAAGTCAGGTAGGTCTTCCAAATTCATGTCTCGTAAGTGAAATATGATGGCATCAGAGTTTTTAAGCATGTTTCTATTGGACGTTATCACACAGTCTTGACGCTCACAATGCAGGTTCTTCAGTGGGGAAATGTAATCCTTTTCACCAAAAAAGCTAGTCCAAAGGAGAATCACTTTTGAAGGTTCCTTCTCAGTATCCGAGAAGTAAGAGGCCATTACAAACAGCATTATAATGAAGAATGAAAGAAATATTACAATCTTCAAATTCCATAAATACCTCATGCCTGCTAGTACACAAAGAATAAAGGTACAGTGGATTCACTTTAACTTTCCTGGAAGTAAGTGAAACTTGCTTCCTTAAAGGATACAGATGTGGGCTATGATCCTACTTCACAACCTTTAATAGAATAATACAAAAGCCAGTCATTACCCTTCAAATACTTATCAAATCTTTCCTTACAATTTACTGCAACCACCACATCTGAAGTCAACCCATTCCACAGACCAACCATCCTGATATAAAAATAGACTGGAATTAGCTGAAAATTACTCCTACCCTGCAAAAATTGGTCCCCTTGTCCTACCATTCTCACCATTAAGTAAGAAAAAAGATGATGCATCAACACTGTCTATTCTCTAAACAATCTTAAACATCTCAAACGTATCTTTTCTGACTATTCTTTTTTTTTTCAAGAGAAAACAATATCAGAGATATTAACCCATCCTCATATGATATCCTTTCCATCCAAAGTGTTATTCTTGCAGCCCTCCTCTGAACCCTTTCTAACAATTCAATGTCCTTCCCAAGATAAGGAGCCCAGGACTGAAAACTATAATCCAAATGTGACCTAACCAGTGACCTATACAAAGAAATTATAACTTCTTTAGATTTTTATTCAATATTTCTGTAGAAAAAAACCTAAAGTCTTATTTGCCCTCCTATAAGCAACAGCACACCACTTGGATGGCTTAAGAGTCTGATCAACCAAGATCCTTTTCTTCATTAACACTGTTATGGTTATTCCCATCAAAATTATACACAATTCAAATCATGATAACCTATATGCATTACTTTGCATTTATTATAATTCAAAGTCATTTTCATTTATTTACCCAACTCACCAAATAATATAGATGCTTTTGTAAAGCAACACCATTCTCCTCACAATCAAAACCCCTTAAAATCATCATCAAATTTAAGTAATTTACCATTCTTCCATCTATGATATTGTTGTAAAACATAAAGAGCAAATGTCCAAATACTGACCACTGAGGTACAACACTCGAGACATTAATCCATTATAACAACCATCTGCTTTCTTCCATCCAGCAAGTTTTCTATCCAATGAGCCAACTTATCCCCCAAAATTATAGAGATAATTTTTAACAAGGTTTTTATGTGGCATCTTGTCAAATACTTTCTGAACATCTAGTTATATCAAATGCACATCCTAACATCATCTATATATGCAGTAACCTCTTCACATATATTAGTATTGAATATTTAACAAAATTTTATATTTTGTTAAATGACTTTACAAAGCATCTTTTATCAGGCTTTCAAAACCTTTCTTCACTAATGATGACTAACAAGCCTAT